CTATCTTGACAAGTCGTAACATTTGCTAAGATTGATCGTTTTGTATTCCATTAACGACGTAAAAAATAATTAGGCCTTAAGCACTTTGAAAATGGTATTAAGAATATTATATTTCGATTTTATTTGACAACTCATAATGATTTCGAAAATTGAGACAAAATACAGAAAATTTAATGGGGGTAACGTGACCCCTTACCATCCCTTGGGTCTACCCCTACAAGTATATTCATTTAGTTAGCGTAATGAATTGCTTTAATTCAGAAGGCCTAATAGCATAAACTCCCTACAAACTTGATCATGTGCAATATACCTCATTACCTATTAAAAATCTTAGAAAAGGTACCTATTTGAAACATTTTGTTCCAAATACCTCTTGCCACTTGCAACCCACTTCGCCTTTAGCCGCAATCACTTCGACCGTAGCCGCAATGGACTCTCGTCTGTGCAAATATGGAATGGAGGATTCAGTAGAAGACTTTATGAACGATAGCGAACCCAAGAAAAAGTTCTTCATATGCATATGATGCCTGGTAATGGAAACGCAAACACAATTTCAATTTTTTACTAAGTACGCAAGCTTTTATTTTTTTTTCTACTTCAAAATAGAGGTTGTGGCTACTTCTCGTGATTTGACCCACCTATGTGCAGTAGATCCGTGGAGATCAAATTTGGGCTGTTAAGATTCAGAAATGCACTCGAACACCAGTTGTTGTAATTGTATAGGCAGAGTAGTACTATTAGATTTAGATTTTGGGTTTTTGGGTGTTTGTGTGAGTATGTAGTGATGCGAGTTTTTGGTGAAAAACAAAGTTTCAACCGCTTTGTAGACTTGTGTACCAAATGGATGTCAGTGAATGATGTGATTTAGTGTACAAGTTCTGTAGGTTAGATGTTCAATGAGATGTTCCATTTCCTCCTCTATTTCTTGTGTTAGGCACAACTATATAAATTTCAAGCAACCTGTCCTTTAAGGCCCTTTAACTTCTCCTTCACATTTGATTCACTAAGCAACATTCTCAAAGTACAACCCAAATTGCCTTTCTGCAGCCTGAAATAAAATCCAGAGGCCCACAATCTCCACAAACATACACAAAAGCCTCGAACAATCCCTATTGAGATAATCAGCCTTCACATAGTCCACAGACATCACTATATCGCGTATGTATTTCACATTATTTGGCTTATCAAAGAACACACACTATTGTATATAGCCATTGTGAAGTAGTCCATGTATCCCGCTGGATGAAAATGACAAGAAGGTTAGTAAATGAAGTAGTTTAAGACCCACGGCAAACAACATGTACACACGTTTTACAACAAAATTTCAACACACGGGAGCATTTTCAAAATCTCTGATTTTTTTTAAGCCTCCATGATCGATATTCACAATGAAACTGTTAATATAACAAAAAAAAAAAACTATTATCAATACCCCATTCTAAAATTTCACAAATTTAACGCACACATTTTGAAAAATAAAAATCTACGACTTATGTCACACCGTTGTTGAAAAATGCCAGTTGTTGGACCCTCAGTCGTGTTGGAAGAAACCTCTAGTATTATGGGTGAAGGAGGATCAGATTTTGAAATGTGGGTTAGCAACCGGATTTCTCACCTTTGTATTTGATCGTCTTGCGCAAAACCTCCCTAATGGTTTTTTGTGGGTTTTATTAAAGAGGGAAATACAAAATTATGATTTTGTCCTTTCTATTTTATCAATTTCCCCCTATTTAATGAGATTTAAAGACACATCTAACATATCTTCACGATATGGGGTATTTTGAACAAAAGGTTTCAAACATGAGCATTTTATTCGATTTTCAATAGGTAGATGATATATTGCACATGATCAAGTTTGTTGGGAGGTTTTGCTATTAGGCCACTCAGAGATTTTTAGATAATAAATCTTATCATTCTATTTTTCAAATAAAACAAGCATTTTAGAATTTGGACAATAGTCATGAAAAGGAAAAGAAAAAAGAAAGAATTACTTGGAACAATTATCTTTATACACTTTTAGTTTAGTTTATGGAGAATGGATACTCGCCAAAATTGCATGCTTGATTTCTATGTTCGTTTACTACGTAAGAAGTAAATAAATAATTTTAAAAGAAATAATTATTTTATTCGATAAAGTTGGAACATAAAAATAAAGATTTCATATTAATTCAAATAGCAAGAAATTTACTTGGTCTTTATTTGGTGGGGATTAAAATCATATTTTTAATATATTTTGATAAAAGTTGATCAAATGTGTGATTGAAAAGTTGAATCCTATGAAATGTGTTGTTAAAATTAATTATTAATTTTGACTTAAAATCAAAATCTCGATTTTAATCCATACCAAACAGGACTTAAAAACAGTTTTTGATATATTTTCAAGTTAATTAGCCAACGCTTTCATAATTTTCATGAGCTTAATTTTGCTATTATTCCTAGAATTGAGTAATTGTACAATAATTTAATGAATGTATACTAATTGAAGATTTTTTCTGTCCATAATTTTCTCTGACCCTTTAAATACAGCCACATATTGAACCAAGCATTGAATTGACTAATGCTATTTGATATGAATTAGGTTTCGAGATGGAGCTTCGCGGTGGTCTTTTGGTGTTTTTTGATATTTGCTATGAATTTCGGTGGTGATTTTAGAGAGAGAACATTGAAAGAGAGTATTTTAGAACGAGATAATCTTTTTGAGAGAGGAGTTTTTTTGGTGATTCGGTTACAGTGATGCTGCTTGTACAGAGACTTGCTTGACAGGTCCCTTACAGGCAAGACACAATGATGGGCCCCATCATTGTTTTTTTTTAAAAAAAATTAAGCCTGGCCCCACATGTGTGAGGGGTATGTAAGGGACCTGTCAAGCAGGTCCCTGTACAAGCAGCAGGGTTCATTGGGTTATAACGATCTCAGGATTGCAGGTATGCTTTGTACTTATAAATGCTCAAGTATGTGCTGCTCACGTGGTGAACCATGTAGACGTGGCAATGACCAGCTAGCTTACAGTAAACACCTTTTTTTACCCGAAGGCGGATTTATAGTGTGGACAATACTGGAGTCACCTGCCCCACAGTAAGAAATTTTGTCCAATTTTAATTCAAGATTTTCAAAGAAATCCTTGTCGTTTTCAATTTTTGCCTCCAACAATTAAAATTTTGTGTAATGTGCCCCCCACGAATCTTATCTTCTAGCTCCGTCCATATTTTGCACCGATTGATTGATTCTTGTTTTACTCATGTAATCGATTGAGGTCATTTTTATTTCAAGAGCTTTAAATAAATTGATCACGCCAACATCATTATGCATATAAGGTGATGATGATGATCATCATTCATTACCATCGCATTATTACATATAGAGGGATGATGACCATGACTAAATAAATAGGATTACTTCATTTAATTATATTCTTTGTCTATTGTTTCAATACTGAATAATACTATTTATTTCAAGCAAAATATATCAACTAGTCTATAAAGACCTATTGAAGAATAGACAACTATAATAGTCACAATCTAGTAACAACTGTCACTTAATTAGCCAATCTTCTAACGTCATGCGTCACAAGTTCTAGTAAATGCATATTTTTATGGGATCTCCAATTAAAAAATGTTACTTCAAGACTCCGTCCTATATTCCAAACATGCGACAACCTATTGCCCAACTAAAGTTTATTAATTTTCGGCTACGTATGTGTTACCCAATTCAGAAGAAAGATAAATTCAATTTTTTAATTCCAAATTTAGGCTGTCTGTTTCCAATTAATCAGCCAATTTTTATTGCTTTTTGGACCGTTGCAAGAGGAGCTAGCCGATTTCTCTGACTTTTCATCTCATAATGAGCCCCATATGCTGCCAAAAAAGGGTAAAAAAAAAAAAAAAATCAATTTTTGAGATTAAAAAAGCTCTCGACATGCTCTTAGACTTATCACTTTTCTTAAGTCTTTGATTTCAAGCCTCCAAATGTGGCTAGTACCCCTATCTTGAGCTTAAAGCCTTAAACATCTCAATTGATCTTAAAATGATCCATTTTTATGTGTAAAATAACAATAACTGTCAATTTTATGTGTAATAACAAATAGCTGCCGACAACAAATAAATATCTATAATAAAACAAAGATATGAGTATAAATCCATTATTTTTATTATCTTTAAATATTCGATTGATTACAAAACAAACACCATTTCTACAAGTGATTATATCATCTTATCCACTACACAAATGGAACAAAATTTTCTATCTACCCAAGTTTGAAACCCATTTTTTTCTCATTCTTATTTTTTTTCTTTCTTCATTTCAACTACATATTCTATCAATAAAATAATATTACATATAATAAATTTAAAAATTTCTATTACTTTTCAACTACACATTCTTCCATCAATCACTATTCCAGAATTTATTTTTTCTCAAAAATTGGTGTCAAACAAGTCATTAAGTCCCGATTTGGGCCATCTATTTATCTCATTAAAATGAAAAATATGACCGTTATCCATCAAATCAACATTTAAATTCAAATTTTTTATCTCTTGTGTGGATCCCAATAACGACTATATTTTTCATTCTCATTCTACAAAAAGGTGACTCAAACATGGCCTAAGTATACTAATAATTTAGAAAAATATTCACTATCCACAACAATTATTTACCCAAGATAGGCCACATAACTCAATCCACACACACACACGAGTGTTTACCAAATCGAAATGATTGAACGTAGAATAGATTTGTAAGAAAGAAATTTATCGCTTCCTTCCACAATATTGTGCAACTTAAATTATGAACACGATAACCCAACATTAGGAGTTTAAACAAACCTTAAACAAGACACACGTGTATATTATAAGCATAAAAGCGTACTCGCATATATAGTATACATTCTTCACCCAAAGCAAAAATCAAAACAAGATAAAACATTCAAAGAAGAAATCACGGAAGCTCAAAAGAGAAAATTATAACATCTGCTTTCTTAGTGGGTGGCATGCACCCTCCTTTTCTCATACTTTTTCTTTCTCCTTCTCTTCCTCAGTCTTGGGGTTGTACCCAGGGATTTTCTCCTTGATCTTATCCAAGAGCCCCTTCTTCTCCTTAGCCTCAGCGTCAGGGGTGGTGCACTCTGTGGCCTGATATGGTGGGGGTGGTACAGCCACTTCCTCAGCCTTCTTGTGGCCACCGGGAATCTTCTCCTTGATCTTACCTACAAACCCTTTTTTCTCTTCTGATTCTTCACATTTTTCTACTGGAACAGAAATTTTCTGAGTCTTATGTTCTTCCTTGTGTTCTCCAGAAACCTTCTCCTTCAAACCCTTCTTCGGTTCGCAGACCTGCACCTTCGGTTCAAACTCATTCACAATCCCTTCCTCTTCGGCCTTCTTCTCTTCCTCTTTCTTCCCCGTGAAATGAAACAACCCACGGTCCTTAGAATCAACGCCTCCCTCCTCCGCCACGTTGACGGCGGTTGCTTTATGAACACATGGCTCATCTACGTTCTGCTGGTGTTGTTTCACCTCTTCCGACATATTTCCCGAACAATCTGATTTGGCTAAAAACAATAAGAAATGTTTGTTGGAAGAAAATGTGTGTAATGACGATTAATGTGAGACTTTAGAATGAATGGTTTGAGAACGCAAAGTGGTGAGGTATTTATAGCAATCGGGACACGGTGCTCACGCAATTAAGATAATTTATTTTTGAAAGCAGTCCAAAAGACTTTAGCCTATTAACTTCTTTGAAGGGTAACCTACGACTCCATTATTTTATTTATTTTCCTTACAACTTGCGTGCGAGTGTAGTTCTACTGATCCCTAGGTTTGGAAAAGTTTCATTAGATGAGGATATTGGGTATTAAATTTAGGCTCTGTTTGGTTCATGGACAAACTTGACATAAAAACTTAACAATATACTGAGCGAATTTTAATTATTTTTCCTTTAATATTAAATTTTTTGGTATGACTATAATTTTACAGAAGAAGTCCCGAAGATTTTAGCGATTTATGGTGAAGGATAAGTTTGCAAAACTTTTGTTTACCATACAACCTTCTAACTTATTTCTCAATTTCTTACTCCAAACTAAAATTTTATGAATCTCAAATTTGGATATTTCATCCGTTCTAGAAGAAAATAAATTATTCTTCACGTATTTAGTACATAAATAGATTAAGAGGTCTAAGAATACGGTTTGTTCTTTCTCTGTCACACAAGCAATCTCCAACTTTGATGAATTCGAGTAATATATAATAAAAAGAATTACTCTTTGAAACTCAAACCAAATTCATAAAGATATTTGTACTGCATATTACAACCATGAAAATCGAGATATTTGAAAAATGGTTTATAAAGTTTTCGTCTCAATTCAAAAATCCTGCTTAAGAATTTCTTTTTTTCGCGCCTTCAATATTTTTTTCCTTCTCTACCAGATAGAGCCTAAACTTTTTATGGTTTCATTTGGCCCAATTTTTTAAAATTTATTTTTCATAGTATATTGTTTAAATATAATAATTTTACACGTGAATTTATAAATTTTTCTTATAGGTCTGTTTAAGTCCCATTCTTTTTTGTATAGAATGTATTTTGTATCAGATTGATGGAGAATGTGTTGTTGAAAATGAAGAAAAAAATTTTGGGTTGTGTTTAATATCATTCTATTGAATAATATATGTGATTAAAAAAAAAAGAAAAAATATATTTTGATAAAAATGAGAATCAAACAAGATACACTATTTACAAGATATATCCTTAAAAAATCTACAAAAAAAAGTGGCATGGAAAGGCGAATAATCTAGAGCCAAATGTGAGAATGGCAAGAATTTTCAATATTATAACATCCAACTAAAACATTCCACGTGGAGAACGTGGAATATGTACTTGTGTGGCCATCACTGTCGGCCTTTCATTGGATGAATCTTCTGTGAAGGCGGTGAAAATTGATTTTTTTAAGAAAGAAATAGAACGCCACGTAGCATAGTACTTTGTGGTTCACATACCGAGATCTATAAAGAATGTAAAATATCAGAGCGCCTTACGCCTTTCCAAATGGGACCCAACACCATGCAATGATTCCATATTTCCATGTCGGTATTTTCCAGGATTGGGCTTCACTGACAAGTGTCGGATCCTTTCCTGACTTTCGCTTCCCTGGCGCACGTGTGGGGGTCTACTAGCACGTGAGCATTTTGTATTTGAGCAAAATTCCCAACCCCGTTCATCGGTTCATGGATCCATGTCGGTATTTTTCTGGGCCCCACTGACAGGTAGTCTGTTCCTTTCCTGACTTTCGCTTCCCTGGCGCACGTGTGGGGTCTACTAGCACGTGAGCTTTTTGTATTTGAGGAAATTCTAATCCCCCCTTTTTTCTTTATATATATTTTTCATCCCATGTAAAATTTTATCAAATTCAATTACATATTCGTTCAACATTGTATTAGGTCTATTTGATTCTTTGAAGGCTGTTGACGTAAATATCCTTTAAAATATCCATGATTTTTCAAATAAAAAATTATTGTAAAAATTAACATATTTTTAATGATTTTTATCGACTCCAAGAATGTACTCGTAGACTTTTGCCTTGGACCATCTTATGATATCAGCAGAGATCTAAACTGTGACGGAATTTAAGTTTATACGAGAAAATATCAAACAAATATATAATCGAAAATTATGGGTCATGTGAGCTAATTTGTAGGCTTTCCTCACTCAAAACTAATTGTTACGTTTTATCTGAATTTGTTCCTCGTATCCAACCCATTGTGTGAATTGTCAAATGATGGATTTGTATGTTTATTATGCGACTTTAGTTTGAGAAATACCCACGAAAACTACTAAAGACTTAAAAATAGACTATCTGAAAAATCGAGTTCATGAAAATTGTGACATTATAGCTTATGGAAGGTGGCCAAAATGAAGATGCCAAGCTCGCTGGAGAAGGCATAAAAGCCCCCCTGGAGCTGGCAGAGGGATTAAAGATTCTTTGTTTTAAAGGTTATCTTCATTAGTGTAAATGCAGATAATATATTTTGTTCCATTTTATCCTGAAGGTATATGTCCTTAAAGCATAGTACACAATATCGTATTGGAGTTAAATAAAGTTTTAAGCCCTTCTCGAAGGTTTGCACCAATATTGGGAATTCAAAATTCTACCGTCCTCGACAACCTATGAGCTTATAGCATTTGTGATTGAGGAAAATATTGACTTTCAATGTTCAGGGAGAACCCTGACTATAGGCATTAGGGCCCCGCATAGGTGAGGGTCCCCATAATAGTAATGCATATATATAGAGGTAAACTCATAAAGTGCATATAGAATCCCTCATATATACTAAGCTTAAGGTTTTGAAAATCTCAAGGCTCGCGAGGGCCGACCATATCAATACTTGTAAGCGTAACTACTTCGCACTAATAGGCTCTAGTCATTTATCTTTTATGAAAGTTTTAAATTATCGAATATTTAGATCCAATGCACAAAATTATCTATAATATAGCTCTCGTTTGGTGCACATTTTGAAGGTAAGAATGCATTTTTACTGTTAATTTGATGGAGAATATGTGGTTGAAAAAGAAGGAAAAGTTATTGATGTGATTGAAAATATTATTTTATTGAAAAATGTGTGGTTGGAAATGAGTAGAATAATGAGAATGAAAAAAATAATGTGGACCAAATAAGGCCATATTAAATATCGTATCAGGTAAGAATCATTTTCTGAACAATTTTAGCCATACTACAATTTAATTATTTCAATAGTACCATACTTTTCGTTTTTCAATATATATTTAATTAAATATTAATAATTAAACATGCACGCAAATCAATAACTGAATTGTATGAGAACAATAAAATTGATTCAAAAATATGAAATTTAATTAATTTGAATCAACGAATATAGAAAAAGAATAATATATATACATTTAAACAAAGTGGATGTAAGTGAACCACTATGAAATTTAATTAATTTGAATTAATAGATATAAAAAAATAATAATTTATATACATTTAAACAAATGAGTGTACATGAACCAACATGAAATTTAATTAATTTGAATCAATGAATATAGAAAAAGAATAATTTATGTACATTTAGATAAATGACGTTATATAATAGATTAAATGAATAATATTGAAATTAAATAAGTGTACATGAACTTGAATAATTTATCTACTCCTATAATAATTGAATAGCTCCCAAATTATATGATCTTTAATAATTTATATACTTCTAGAATAATTTATGGTAAAATGAATAATTTTGAAACTAAATATATGTCCATGAATTTGAATAATTTATTTACTCATAAAATAATTGAATAACTCTCAAAATATGTGTACATAAACTTGATGACTTAATGTTATATTTAATATATTCATAAATAAATGTTAATTAGTATACATGCACATACATAAATAATTAAATTGTAGTATTTTTAGAGTAATTGAACAGCTCTCAAAATATATAAAGTGTACATGCATGAACTTGAAGAATTAATTGATTGAATTATAGTAGAATATATATAAATTAATGTTAATTATTATCGTACACATAAATAAATAATTGAATTGTATAAAAAAGTCTATTTTACATAAACAATTTTTTAAACTATTTTTTATATTCACTGATTTTCAAATATCATTTTTACAGTTTTTATAAAGCATTTCAAAATAACGTGCAACGCACGTTTAGCCGTGACTAATACAACTAAAAGCAACAAGTTACTTTTTGATTATTTCTTAATGGTTAGATCAAACAAGTCAACTTTTCATAAGATTGAATACTACAATCAATAATTAAAGTAGTAAAGAACACAAAAAATGATCACAGAGAAATCACAACTGTGTAAAAACTCCGGGCACCTTTTCACTATAAATTGAAATAACTTACAGTACGGTCAAGACCCGTCTACCCCGTAGAACTTATGATCTCAATTCTTGCAGTCTCCCTTGATCCTACTAGATGTGTGCTCCTTCAAACAAATCCCGACTCCTAGTTTATACATTAACCCTCCTGGGTTGCGTGCTTTTGACGTCAGATCTCGACTCCTAGTATCTCACCTTAGTCCTCATGAATTTGTGTTTCGGCAATAACTCCCGATCCCTAGTATCGATTTATCTCTGGTGGATTAAATAGTTTGGTGTTTGATCAAAAGATCTTGCGTGTTTTGATATGTAGTTTATGAAGCAATATGGCTAAATCAACAAATCAAAGTTTTGATGAAATTATTGCTCAAATAATATGGTAGTTGAATCTTTGAATCAATAAATGTGTTTTGATCTTCAAAGGAATGATCTATATGGAAAAATATGATTCAACACTTTATTAGACATTTATAGGGTAAGTTAGTCATGTAAAGATGGGCGGGCCGCCCAGGCCCACCCGTAGGCGAACCGGTCCGCGATTCGGCCCACGAACCGTGT